GACAGAGTGGGAGGCTGTGGGTTTGTAGTTAGTAATCTGTCTGAGCCCCTTCCAGACAGACGCGGGGTCGTTGGCTGAGAACTGGTGTTGGAGTTTCTCAGAGTACGGTCGTTTAGCATTTCTCATCACCTTGCTAAACCTGTTCCTCCAACTCCTTGTACCTGTCCTTGTTCCCACTTGTGAATGCTTCTTCCTTCTGCAACCTTAGCTGTCTGAGCTTAGCTGTGAACCAGGGCTGGTCATTGTTGTAACTCACCCTGGTGCGTGATGGTACACAGCAGTCCTCACAGAAGCTGATGTAGGATGTTACAGCCTGTGTACTCATCCAGGCTATTGGTATCCGGAACACATCCCAGGCAGTACAGTCCAAGAACGCCTGAAGGCTCTCTGCAGTCATGTTGTTCCAGACCCTTGTAGTCCTTGCTGCAGGTTTCTTCAGCTTTAGTTTCTGCCGGTATGAAGGGATAAGGTGCACCATGGCATGGTCGGAGTGGGCCAAAGCAGCACGGGGTACGGTGTTGATAAGCATTGGGGACTGTGGTGTAGCAGTGATCCAAGGTATTTTCCTCTCGGGTTGGACATTTAATAAACTGTTTAAATTTTGGAAGTTCGTTGATGAGGTTTCCTTTGTTAAAGTTGCCGAGGACAATTACTAGAGTCTCTGGGTTGGTCCGCTCCGCACTCTATCTGGTCGGCCAGCGTGCACTGCACCTTTTTTACGTCCACTTGTGGTGGAATGTAAACTCCGACTAGAATGAATGACGCTAATTTACGAGGGGAGTAGAAGGGTTTGCAATTTATGAAAAATGATTCCAGGTCGGAGGAGCAGTGCTGAAGAATCACAGACACATCAGGACACCAACCGTTGTTTATAAAAAGCATATTCCGCCGCCCTTTGATTTGCCAGAGAGTTCCACGTCGTGGTCTGCGCGTAGAAGTTGGAAGCCCGTGAGCTGCAGCGCGGAGTCCGGTATGAGTCCACACAGCCACGTCTCAGTGAAGCATAGGACGGAAGATGCGGAAAAGTCACGGTTTCTCACCACCAGTAGCTGCAGTTCGTCCAGTCTGTTGCACAATGATCGTATGTTGGAGAGGAATATCGCGGGGAGCGGTGTGCGGAGTCCCCGCCGGTGTAGGCGCACGAGCGCACCGGCGTGTTTGCCTCTCCTCTGGCGTCTCGCAGCGTGAGATAAGGTAAGAGCACTTTTAACCAGAATGTCCAAGATTTCAGTTGGAGATACCAGAAAAGTTAGTAATAAGTCCACTGAGGTAGTTTTTCTGATGTTCAAGAGCTCTTCTCTTGTGAAAGCGCAGCAGGAGACTGAATTAACAAACAAAATAAAGCAAAACAGTGCACACCAACACACCGAGGCAACCATCCGCGGCGCCATCTTGTTTAAGATTGTTTAACAACCCCCACTGCTACTTAACTGACCAGATCAATATCCCAGAAGTTTAACTGACTTGATGCTATACTCTGATTAAAAAGTGTTCCTTTAATTTTTTGAGCAATGTATATCATTATCGGGATATGAGATAACATATCAGGATATGAAATTTTGGTCATATTGCACAGCCCTAGATCAAAGCATGTTCATTACATAACAGTTATGCTCTGTAATGGACAGGCAGCCCATGTGGAAACAGTCCTGCCTGATGCCCCATGTCTGCTTAGATGCCCTCTACAGGATAAGTGACGTCAAACATGCAATAACTGATGTCATCAGAATTACTAGAAATGAAAAAGCAGATACTTCACAGCCATTCACATTTGGTTTTCCCTGAGCTTTACAATAGTTAGATAGAAAGTGAATGTTTAAAAATTACTTACTTTCCTTTATATAATTTCTGGCAAGTAAAGCAACAGTAAGTATGACGACAGGTATGACAGCGAAGCACAGCACCAGAATCCCCCAATGCCAGGATGAATAACCTAAAAAATGCAGAATTACATTCAGAATTAATTTTTCCTAACATACTTGACATACTAGACTATAATCAGCATGTCTGACCTTATAATTACTCTATGAAATTGGGGCACAAATTGTTTTATGTGCATGATTCTTAATTGTTAATTGATTAACATTATTATTAAGGGAAAATAAAATCATAGATTGTGCTGTGTTGCTATATTAAAATGCATCTTATTTAGAGCTGAAAACTGCACTAGAAGTAGAAGCCTGAAGCATAAATGCATTAATTTATTTTGTCTATAAAACTAACTAAACCCAGTAAGAATATAGCATGTGTATACAGATCAGTCTACAGCAGAATCTCAACACCCATATATATTAGGGCTGTCAAAATTAACGGGTTAACGCGGATTAATCCATCATCATGATTAATCTGATTAAAATTTTTAACGCAATTAACCCATCTGCAGCGCAGAATGATTCAAAATCCCTGAAATGTCTCTGTCAACCCATTTCGGGCAGTTTTAGTGTGTTCCATTTGCCCTCGGAACTCATATTCCGATTCGGATTCCGGAGTTTTGAAGCCGGAAGTGACTACATGCGCTCCCGTTTCTCTGAGATCCGAGAAATATCTCGGAGCAGCACAGAGGATCCCGAGTTCAGAATCCAAGATGGCTGCGCCCTTTGTCAAAAGAAGGGAAAGTTGTAGTTTTATACTGTTTAAGCACTGCTTCTCATTTGTGGCTCATTAAATCGGTCGCACACGCTATACCGTACTTATCTGTGGATGTGTTGCTACAATAAATGTGAATAAGTTTTATACTTGAAGCACTGCGCGTAATGTGCTATCAACTGATATTGCTATTGATACAATGGCAATTAACCGGGCTAGAATTGGACTTCAGGATTAGTTGGGTTATTTGTCGGATTTACGGTAGTTCGGGCTAATTGTAAGCGAACGAAGATAAAGACCATTTAAACTGAGGTACCTTAAATCCGACAAGTTGTCCGGCTACGGAAAACATCTTGCTTTTTGATATGGGTCCATGGTATTGCACTTCTGTGGCAGATGGAATGCATCCGACTCATGTTCAAGATGTTCAATAAACATGTTAAGTGCATGTATAATCCCTTTTTTCTTGAGTCTGTTTGCTCATGCAAAATGAAATGTGATTAATCTGATTAAAAATTTTTATCATTTGACAGCACTAATATATATATATTTATGTACCCATACTGCAAAAATACTATACATTGCATTGACGTACATATTATTACCACTTCTTGTCTTCATTTTACACTAACCTATATGGCTATGCGTTTAATTTTTTGTTTTTTTTTTCCTATTTAATTTTTATTCTCATTTTCGCACACATAATATTGTTACACTGCAGACCTTGAGCTCTACAATTTCATCTCTCTGTATACTTGTATATGGCTGAGATGACAATAAAGTTTACTCTGAAACTTTACTCTGAGAACCACTGACCCTCAGGACAATTAACATGAGATTTAATCACACAAAACTATGTTGAGATGCATGTTAAAACCAGTCATTCTAGTGATTCACCCAGTGTTATGTTAAGCTGACTTTTAACATGACGGCAACTAGGGCTATATTCATGATGAGCAAATGGTCAGTTAAGCAAAGTGATCAAAAAATAAGGTTAAAACATCATAAATAATTAGAAATTGTTACAAGCAGTCTCCAAAATGAAAAGTAAAGTGGTAACCAAGTCTGAGGGAGTTAAAATAAGGACAATATAATAAAGGTGTTTAACAGTTAAAGGAGTTTTACATATAGATCATACAGGTGGATCTTCACCAGTAAAAACATGAGTCTCAGTCTGGTTTAACCTACAGTATGTGACACCTTGTGTAGGTGACCTGGTGACTCACCCAGTGCTGCTATCCTGGCTGTTGTTCTGCCACCAGGATCAGAATCTGAGTAGGCTTCACACCTGAACTCCCCTTTGTCTTCAGTCCTGACTTTCCTCAGTTTCACTGAGAAGTTTCCTTTGGGAATTTCCTCAATGTAGAATTCAGCTCTTCCAGAGTATCTCTCGAGTATATTTCCTTTACTATACTGAAGCACTATGATGCCAACTTCTGTCTTTGTCCATTCCACCTGAAGCTCTGTCACATTAAAAGTGGAGTTCACAGAGCAGCTGAGAGTCACATCCTCTCCAGCATGTGCATAGACAGGCTCATCTGCACCCGTCACCACCAGCCACTCTGGAACAAGAACAGGAAGATTCACACAACCTGGCACCCTGGCATTTACCAGGCCCTCGCCGACGAGCTCCCCCCAAGACCTGGCTTCAGGGTGGGGCCCCGATCTCCCCAGTTCAGGCTGGGTAACATCTTCCTTCGTGCTAATCGTCATGGGGGTCTATGTGAATCAACTTTGTCTGGCTGCTGACCTAGGATCAATTTACCATGGGAGAACCTACCAGGGGTAACAGCCCCAACAACATAGTTCCTAGGATCAGGAAGGAAACACTGAAATGAGCCTTGCCCAGATTGGTTTTATAACTAAAAACAGCTGGAAACACCGCGTGATGAATAATTGTGCATATTGATTTCAATAGGAAGCCACATTTCCAATGGGATTTTAAAGCTATTTTCAGTATTTCTTTACAAAGGTAAATGCTTGGTACTAGGGCTGGGCGATATCATATCATATCTGTATTATATCACGCATGCGCAATAATCACTAGTGCTTCAGATGACAGGCACATTTGGCTGTGCGCCAGCTTTTCTGTGCTATACGGAAATTTATTTACACCCACAATTTAAGCAGTTTAGTAGTATGGCTAAAATATTGAGGCTTTGTATCAGAGCATGTGAGCGGAGTGGAGCGGTGAGAATTTCTGCTCCTCGCTCACGAGGCTGTTGGCTCCGTCCACTCCTCCGCTGTAATTCGCACTAAGCCGCTCCGCTCAACACCGCTCCTCGCTCCACTAAAATTTCCTCCCGCTCCAGTCAAATCGGTCCACGCTCGCTCCA